TACTATTTTCCTATGTAAAATTAGATATAAAAAAACACATAAATAAACTGTACGAGTAAGCTTAATTTCATATTTCATATTTTACATTTTTATTTTATATTGAAAAACAATCAATTCAAAAAATTCCATTTATTTGTTTGAACAAATATATTTATTTTGAATGGTATAACAACCTATTTTGGTACCGTATTTCGATACAGCTTTCCAATATATACAATATTATACATTAAAAATGGCCGCACATGTTGCCTGAATTTCCATACGCGACGCACTGAACCTGTCACTTAAATATTAAAGCAATCCCCAGACAGATTTCAAAAATATCCATATAGATATTTTGATATCTCTTTGTACTGATGTTAAGGTAAATTTGAAATTGCATATTGTTCCTAGATGTTTTCTCGAAAAATAAAAATGATATAAGATGCGAATCATGTTTATTTAAATTATGAAAATATGGGTATCTATTACACTTTCACTTTTAGTTCACATTAACTTGATTATTTTGATTCGAAGCCTTCATTTCAGGCACATATAACTACTAAATTAAAGGTTGCTTATATACGGTTGAAGAATTTTTCGTCTCTTAAGTTTGATATACCATCAAAGACTAAGTATCAATTATGTGACACACTTATTTTATCTTTATTTGATTATGGCGATGTTGTTTATGGTACATCCATAAACGCTAGATTCTCTAGAAAAATCCAAATAGTTCAAAATTCGTGTCTACGGTTTTCTTTTTAGAGATCCATTCCTTTTAGAGATCATATAACGCCACATCTTAAAAATTTATCTATTTTATCCATGACTAACAGACGACAATTTCATTTAATGACATTCATTTATCGAATTTTAACTACAGAGCAGCCTCCCTATTTGTTCTCATTGTTTCACTACGTTGACCATGATCATTCGACTAGACAAGTGCATTATTTTAAAATTCCTCAACACCGAACAGCTAACTTCCAAAAATCTTTCAGTTTCATAGCGCCACATTTGTGGAATAATATTTCTAATAACTTTAAATTTCAATCCTTTACAGATTATAAAAAACAAATTAAAAATCATTTACTAAATTCGTAAATATTATAATTTCTTCGACTGATTTGTGAGATCTTGTTCTTCTGATATACCCGTCATTGGTTGATGTTCCGGTTTTTACACTGTTTCATTATGCCTCTCTGCTTATCTCCGCTCATCCCTGATAAAACTATATTTTCACTTTTTTTATATAATTTTAATTTTTTTAATTCTGTTTATTTTTGTAATTTAATTTAATTTAATTTATTTCTATTTTGTATTTGGGGTCGCACCACTCTGGCACTTTGTGCCATTGTATCGGTTTTTTAATCGCGGTGCGATCCCTTTAGACACACATTTATTAATACTAATATTATTTTGTAAAACTTAATGGGGTCTAATAAAGAAATTTGAATTTGAATTTGAATTTGAATTTGAATTTGAATTAACTACCATGAAATTACACAAAAAAATATATTTCTTTGACAAAGATTTTATGTAAAAGATATTTTATGAAAAATTTGACAATGTAATACGTGTGATTTTATAAAATATTGTATATTAACACTGTCAAATTTTTCACAAAATATCTTTGATAAAAGATCTTTAACATAGAAATTAGAAGGGGAGATATATCGTAAATTAAAAAGTATAAATAGTAATATACAGGGTGTCCCAGAAATAGTGCAAGTATTTTAATTGGTAGTATAGTTCAACCCCAGAAACACGCCTATGAGGATTTTTTCGCGAAAAAAAATTGAAAATTCGAAATTTTTTTAGTTTTTAGTTAAAAAACATAATTTCTTGATAATATGGCATACATAGGTATTAGATTAAATTTACAAGAAAGAAAATCCAGAAAAGATCCAGTGGTTCTCAAAATTTTAGCAAAAATCATTTTTTTTTTAATTTATATATATAAATTCGGGTCAGAACGTCCTACAACGTTGTCCGATGCCTAACTTCCACCCTGTGCGATTTTCCCATCGATCTTCGGTCAGATTTTTCTCGCTCATCGACCTTCTTATTCTTTCCATCCATGTTTTCTTGGGACGTCCTCTCTTTCGTTTACCAGGTGGTATCCAATGAATGACTTGTTTTGGAGTTCTTTCAATTTGCATTCTCTGAACGTGGCCGTACCATATTAATTGTTTTTGTTCTATATCATTTACTATTGTTCCCTCTATTCCCATCTGTTGTCTAATGTCTTCATTTCTGATCTTATCCCTCCGTGAAATTCTCATTGCTCTTCTAATCGCATCCATTTCTATTGTCTCTAATTTCCTTTTATTCCTTTCAGTGAGTTGCCATGTTTCACATCCATAGAGTAATATGCTTTTAACTAGTGTCTCGTATGTATTATATTTCCTGTTTTTTGTAATTTCAGTGCTCCATAGAATGCCATTTATGCATCTGATTACTCTTCGTGCCTGTATTACTCTGTTGTTTATTTCTCTATCGTCCGTTCCATCTCCTGTAAAAATCGATCCCAGGTACCTGGTAATCTTCACATGCCCTAATTTCCATATTATTGTCTAAAATAAGATTTTCCGTATTAGCTCCAATTGGAAGGTATTTTGTTTTTTCTATATTTACTGTGAGACCCCATTTAGCATATTCTTCAATTATTTTCTGCACCATATATTCCATGTCATCTTTGTCGTTTGCAATTATGGCCTGGTCGTCTGCAAATTGCAAGGTGTATAGGCATATGTCATTTAGTTCTATACCCATTCCGTTACATTTTCTTTTCCATAAATGTAAGGCCTTGGCAATATAAATTTTAAATAGTGTTGGGGATATACAGCAACCCTGTCGGAGCCCTTTAGTGATAGAAATTTCCTCTGAGAGACCGTTGACCGTTTTTATTTGTGATTTTTCTCCATGGTAAAGATTATGTACAGCTTTTATCAGAGCTGCGTTAATTCTTGATTCGTGCAATACTTCCCATAATTTTATTATTGGCACTGTTTTTGGCATTTTTTTAATTTTTTAACGTAAAATAACTCCGTTATTTTGGACTAATTTGAAAAACGATAAAGAGAAAATATGTTTCTTTTATCGAGATCTACCACCCCTTAAACTAAAAGCAAATACATGCACTTATTTCTGGGACACCCTGTATATACAATAAGTAATACACTTTATACTTTTTTCCATACTAACTGTTAAAATTGCCTTATATCTATCAAAAATAGTAGATAAAATAGTACTTTAACCGTAAGGGTTGATTAAATGATACTTTAACAGAGAGGATAGGTTAAAAACTTCATTTCTTCTCGCACGTTTTTTAATTGCTTCCATTTTTGAAAATTATTGTATTCCTTTTCATAAGTTATTCGGGATTTAAATGGAAGTAGTTTGGATATGGCGTTTGTCGCCTGAGCCTGAATATCTGTTGGTAATTTACTTATTTTGTTTTGAGCCATTTGTGGCTCCAATTCAATCAGCAATCGACACGAAAAAGAATTAAAAAATATTGACTCAAGACTGACAACTAAAGAGACAGCTTTATTTATTTGTCAATTTACATAAAAATCATAGCAAACCCAGCACAATATTTTTTCTACTCGTAATAAATTCCTTGAAATGATAATTTCTGAATATTTTTTAAAACGTAACTCGCTATGGAAAAAAATATTGTTTTATACAGGACGATATAATTGCATTATGGTCTCCCGAAATTTTCGGTCGACGATAAAATACCATTTTATCGTCTTGTATAAAAAATAACTATTAGTTTACGATCATTCAAAATGTCTAAAAAACACAATTAAAATAAATAGAATATCCTAGCAACAGCTTGCAGTAATCAGTTGTATACATAGAGAAAGCCTAGCATCATAAAATAATAAACTTTTGGTTTCTAACAACAAATTTTAAAATGAATGATATATAAACATTCGATAAGTTTCAATTCATTCAATGTAATGCGATAGGAAAATATAAATAAAAATTAGAAATCAAAATTATTTATATTCGGTACTTTATATTACTATTTAATAATAATAATATTTACTTTTACTGGTATTTACTTACTAAAAAATAAATGAAATATTTCTTCGCAAAAAACTACATGTAAGAGAATTAGCATAAACAAAATACAAACATCGTTAACTTTTTTTTAAATTGGCACGTGTAAAACTTTTAATTTAATTTTCTCACCCCATAGTCTGAGTTCGATAACCATTTACTTAACCACATTAATTAATATAATTATTAAGTTCAACTAATTCATATTATTAAAACATCTAAAATACAAATATGTATTTTTAAAATTAATTGTAAGTTCATCTCATCTCTCTTAAAAATTGCTACTTCTCAAAATTTCCCATTAAAAAATAGACCATATACCATATAAAATTAAATAATTGAAAGATCGGGCTACGGAAAATCACACAAACTTTCGGAAAAATTTTGACCACCTGCACACGCACACAATCGTCAATTAAAAAAACTACTATTTTAGTATTTTAAATATTTTAATAAACGCAAAAATAGCACAGTATTTATAAGGCGAAGTTATAAAAATTTGGAAGAACTAATAATGCACTGACGCACACAAAAATCAAACGAATACTAAATTTCATTTATCAAAAACATTCGATAGTCGTGGCTCAACGATAACCATTTAGTCGCACGGCGAGGTTGTCACATATGCTTTAGTATACAAATGAATGAATGATTTTATTCGAATAAAACCATTCGATAGTTGAAATCATTCATTCAGTAACCATTCGATAGTCTAATTCAATCGATAGTTCCCATCGCTATTTCTAACAACACTTTATCTTGACGGATGATACTAATCAAAGGTTTTTTTTTCATTTTAACGTTCTGAATGCTTACAATGAAATTAGAAGAACAAACTTCTGCGCTAATTGAAACCACTAATTGCGAGATTCTGAATGAAGCTTTAATCTGGCCACATCGAGTTTCACAGCTTTCACTAGCAACAAAACTTTTCTGAAACTTACCCCCGGTCTATGACATCGGCGATCGTCGGCTACGTTCCGATTCGGTCCGACAGCGCTCACCCCGCAGCGGCCTGCTGATCATGGCGTTCGTGAAGCGGCAACTGAAACTGAAATTTGCTGAAAGTTGTCCGTGTCGCCCCGAGCGCACTGGAAACGGCCGATTGCGCATTTTGCGTGTCGCTCCTTTTCTCAAGTTTCTATTTTTCTGATGTCGTCGGCGGATGGCTCTATCCTCTTCTCTTTATGTAGCAAAGAGGATTTAAAGAACTTAAGGATTTTGGATTTACACTTTTTCACTTCTTTCATATTACCTTATTTTATATACAGGGTTGTTCACCACATACGACACGGAATATTGTAGCTAAACGATTAGATTTTTACAAATTGTAAGTTTTGGGTTCGTTGAAGGACTATTAGAGCTACAATTTAAAAATATTTTTACAAGATACAGAGTGTCCCAAATAAATAAAAAATATCAATTTTTTTTTTAAATGGAACACCCTGTATATTATTGCATTTTTAGTTTCTACGATTAAGATAAAGGTAAATTTGATTAAGGTTTATTACACTTAAACCTTACCGTTTTTGAAATATTTTCAATTTTGTGAAATTGCAGTATAAATTTTAAGGCTTCATTTCTCCGAGGGTATCAAAGTTTTTAATACTAAATATTTACTGAAGTTTATTTATTGATCAGTTATTGTGTTGCAATAATAAAAATTTTACTACCTTATACAGAGTGTCTAAATATTTATTTTAAATAATTATTAGCTTTAAACGGCAATAACTTGTTTAATTTAAATGGAACACCCTGTATATTTTATGAGAATCAGATGAGCAATTTAATTGTCTATCAAATTGTATTATATCATTTTTTACCTATCTCTGCAAGCTTCCGTAGAAAATGCATTTTCTTGTAATTTGGAATTTATTTATCAATATACCCATGGAATACTGACATTTTAGATTATTTTTAAAGATGTACCAAATTTTTAAAGAGTACAGATACTAATATTGTCAATATAGTTCCTTTATTTCATTAAGAATAAAAAAAACTATTTAAATATTTGATAAAGAGGATCAATTAATACGATTCCAGTATTCACACCACATTAATTGACTGTTTGCGTTGATTAATAATAATTGCTCCAAATACTAAAAAACTGAATTATTTATGTGTATTAGACAGTGTGGTAAAAAAACTAATATCTTAAAAATGATATTTCATTTTTTGACAAATGCTTATCTATAACAACAGAGACGTTCATTTTCATAACTTATTATTATATTGATTTCTGATTCAAATCCACATTTATTTAGAATAATTTATTAACGAACACAATTAAGTATGTAATTAATTAGTATTTGAACGGAAATACTGGTGGTATATTTAATTAATGGTATACTCTTTTATAAATATTTAAATAGTTTTCTTTACGCATGCAAATGGGCTCATCGTTTTATTAAAAACGATAATATTACTAGCCTGTACATTTTGTACATTTGTTGTTTTAAAAACAATCTAAAATGTCAATATTCCATGGGTATATTGATAAATGGGGTCTAAATTATAAGAAAATGCATTTTCTACGAAAACTTGAAGGGATAGGTAAAAAATGGTATAACACAATTTGATAGACAATTAAATTGTGCATCTGATTCTCATAAAATATACAAGGTATTCCCTTTAAATTAAACAAGTTATTGCCGTTTAAAGCTAGTAATTATTTAAAATAAGTTTTTAGACACTCTGTATAAGGTAGTATAATTTTTATCATTGCAACACAATAACTGATCAATAAATCAACTTCAGTAAATATTTAGTATTAAAAACTTTGATACCTTCGGAGAAATGAAACCTTAAAATTTATACTGCAATTTTACAAAATTGAAAATATTTCAAAAACGGTAAGGTTTAAGTGTAATAAACCTTAATCAAATTTACCTTTATTTTAATCGTAGAAACTAAAAATGCAATAATATAGAAGGCGTACCATCAAAAAATACAACTTTGATATTTTTTATTTATTTGGGACACTCTATATCTTGTAAAAATATTTTTAAATTGTAGCTCTAATAGTCCTTCAACGAACCCAAAACTTACAATTTGTAAAAATCTAATCGTTTAGCTATAATACTCCGTGTCGTATGTGGTGAACAACCCTGTATATATTTTGTAATTAATTATGGAATAATGTAGGTCTTTAATCATATTTCTGTAATAACTTGATTATTCATTTTACTACTCTTTTCTTACATATTTTTTTTGGATGGTTACGTGAAAGGGCACAAATGTGAACGTCGCCATCGTTATTATATTTTAATTTGTATACAATTATTGTTTATATACCTAATAAAGTCATTTTGAATTGAATTGAATTGAATTTGCCTAAGAAGTTGAATTAATAGCGCTTATTTTTTGAGATGAAACTGTTATGGTCGAATTTCCATTGTGTCAATTTTAATTTTAGAGACTTAAGATATAAAGCTTGATTTTCATGCATCCGTTGTCCGACGATACGATGATACGATATTAATTTTATTGGTTGAATTTAAAGACTTCGATTGGTTAACCGTTTCTAACCAATCGAAGTCTTTAAATTCAACCGCATCAAGCCTGGATTTAAACGAAGTTATTGATACTGTTACGAAAACTAAAGCTAGGAAAAAATTGTAAATATAATTGTTATTTAGTCAGTTTGTAGGCCCGACCTTTATACTCAAACCAAACCTACCCCAAGTATTAATTGTAATTTATGTTGTTACTGTTTAATATTTTTATTACTTGCCCTGCAGTGCACAAAAATGAGCTTAAGTAACTTAGCATTTTAAAGTATTTTTATATTTCATATTTTTATTTGATAAAACCTAATCAGTTTACATAGCAGTGGGACCCCATTTTTTAATTTGCCTCAGGGCCCTTGGTTACTTAGCTACGCCACTGTGTGAGCTAGCTCACTGTGTGCACTCCCCCGAAAGATCGCAACAATGCTATAAAAATCGGAAAAGAACTATTGGAATATGTCGCGGAATTCAATTACCTCGGCCGGCAGTTTGATTTCGGAAAAGGCCAATATTAACTCTGAAATTCAGCACAGGAGTAGAAGCGCCTCAAGAGCATTCTGGAAATTAAAAGACAGGGTTTTCTACAATCATGACTTGAGTACAAGAACAAAACTTGCAATATACCGAGCAATTATAATCCCCACCATGTTATATGGGAGCGAAACCTGGGTGCCGTACCGCCGACACATGAACGCATTAAACAAGTTGCAACAGAGACACCTTAGACAACTCTTAAGAATCCAGTGGTTCCATCATGTCTCAAACGTATCGGTCCATTAAAAAAGCTAACTGCGAGAGTATTGAAGTCATGGTTACAAAATGGTCACGTATGCAGAATGCCAGAAAACCGCATACCAAAATCTCTGCTTTACGTGGAGTTTGTAGATGGTAAAAGGTAGAGATGGGCAAAAGTAACCGATTTTTTGAATAACCGGTATTTTCCTCTAAAATAACCGGTTATTTAAAGGTAGTTTTTTTTCCCAATTAACCTAATAACCTTGCATTACGTTCAATAACCTATAGCCGGTTATTTTTTAAAAAATCGTACTTGTTTAAAACAAGTAACAATTAAATATTAGCTGTTTGAATTGTAAATTTCGAAGAAGCGAACGGCACGGATCTTGCCGATATTATGACGATAACGGGAGATCCCGCTCCCGCTCCCAAAACGAAAATATATGACATCAAACATCAAATGTCAAAATTAAATAAAGCATCAGACGAACCCTGATGATAATAATCAAAACAACGGCCGAATGGCCCTGACAGGGATTTAACTAAGTTTATTATCTAAATTTGAAGTAGACCTATGGAGTGTAGAGGTAAGTAAACCTATAGGAAAACTAAATATTTAGTTTTGCTAGGTTAGGTTATTTGAATAACCGGTTAATTTGTGTCGGTTAATTTTGTGAAGTTATTATTTTTTAAAGATAATTCTGGTTAACCTATAACCAGTTTTTTACCAATAACCGCCCATCTCTAGTAAAAGGAAACCAGGTGGACAACTGGAAAAGTACAAGGACATTTTCCACGAAAGCTTAAAGGGGATTAATATGCAACTTTATTTGAATTTTTTGAACAGGAAAGCTGTAGTAATGGCCCTTTATGTCCCTTAAGTACTGTTAAGAAGGTGAGTTTAGTTGATGCAAGTAATAACTGTTTATACAGGGTGGCACACCTCATTCGCCTTGGTTGATTATGTGAAAACGGAAAGATGTAGAAACAAAAATTTTTATGGGTAAATGTAGAGAGACAATGTGCATAATTTAAAATGATTTTCAAATGTACAGGGTGTGTCAGAACTAAGATCCATACCAAAGTTATATTTTTTCTTATGGAACACCCGGTATTTTATTTCATTTTTTGATTAATCGGCATAAAATAAGGCATTTATTATAAGAGTTTAATATGTTTAAACGCTTTGGTTTTGGAGATATTTAAATATGCATGGTATAATAAAAAAGCTTATCAACACCTTGTACAGTTGAGGGTTGGAACCTTTGGTGTTATACAGAAAAATCACCACTAAATCACCACAATGCACCAAAACACTTTTACTTTTACACTGGACGAGCGTTTCGCTAACATGTTACCATCATCAGCAGATGATTATAAACTAAACTCAGCAGATGATTATAAACTAAACTACAATCTACAATTGGAGCGTTTATATACTCGCTCAGTGGGCACAGAGTGGGCGTGGCAAGATCTAGCCAACCGAGTCAGAACCCACCGAGCGTAACAGTTAGATTTCCACCACTAGAGTAGTAGGAAGAAAGTACTTGAAGGAATTGGACCGTTGTCTCTGTTCATACTATCTTTACATTTATTAATTCTGATGCTTTTATATGCATCTAATTGCCTGTAATTTGAGACTTGTTTAAGTAATTTTAAGTTATTAAGATCTATACAATGTTCTTTATCAACAATATGTTCGGCAACGCAAGATTTATCAGGTCTACCATATCTTATCTGAGCTAAATGTTCTTTAAATCTAGTTAATATTGATCTTCTAGTTTGCCCAACATAT